CAAAAGCGTTCGATTTTGTACCTCACAACAAACATTTTAAAACTAGTATTTTTTGAGATAAAAAGCAAACAAAATAAAAAGATATAAATCAACACCTTAGAAGCTCTACTAAAGAGCGTGATTTGAGAGTCATTTTTTCATCTAATGTCAAGTGAAGTACTCTTAGTCATTAAAATCTCTTGGTACGCTAAAAGAGACATTCACTTTCATTGATTAAAGTATGTATTTAAAGTCATCAAAACAAACTAGCCAATGGAGTAACACCTAAAAAACATAAAATTCTCAAAAAAATAAAGAAAGAGATGAAAAAAATAGTATATATATATATATATATATATATATATATATATATATATATATATATAAGAGAGAAAAAAAAGAAAAGATTGTTAAACAAATATTAATATATGTAATAGCTATAGCAATAATAAAAAATAATAACAATAATAATAAGAATAATTATAATACAACAAAAATTGTATGTACATATCATGGATAATAATTAGGTATAATAATAACATAAAACGTAGCAATAATAACCCAATAATAAGTAAATATAATAAAAATAAATAATAAATAAAGCAAAAATTAAACCACTCGTTTGTTAAAGAAATTATATATTAAAGACAACTACAGTACAGAGAGAAATTATAAAGAAATACACTCCAACAATATATTTTTAAATTGAATTCTGTTGAGAAGTAAATAATTCGTAACAAGAGGATATTTTTTTTAGACTTTTTTATTAATACAGGAATGCACTGGTTCCAGCGGAATCTTGTGGAACGCCATATTTAATAACTTTATGTGTGGATTCAAGTCCATTAATTGAAACAAACTGAGTGCGATCATACTATATGAAGAAAACAAATGATTAGCAATACCATGTAGTCCGTAGTAGTTTAAATTTTTTATTAGAATGTTGCGATCAACCGTATCAAAAGCTTTTTTTTTTTTTTTTTTTTTTAATTTTATTTTATTTTGCTGTTTATATAAATTACAATTTCCTTTCACCAAAAATAAAATATAATTACAAATGTACAAGTAATAAACAGTCAGGGGCTCAAAGAAGATATGGATGGCAAAATACCAACCTAATCTTTTCATAGAGCCCCTAGAGATCATAACAATAATATATGGTAATATATGGTTAATAAATCAAGTAGAAAATTTAGGAAAAAAAAAAAAGAAATAGTAAAAAAGAAGATATAATATTTATGAATAAAAATAGAGAAAAAAGAAGATGTATTAATTAAAAGTAAAAACACCCTCAATTAGTCAAAAAAGAAGATATAATATTTAAAAATACATATAGTGAATAAAGAACATATAGTAAAATATATATATATATATATATATATATATATATATATATATATATATATATATATATATATATATATATATATATATATATATATATGTATAATATATATATATATATATATATATATATATATATATATATATATATATATATGTATATATACATACATACACACACACATATATATATATATATATATATATATATATATATATATATATATATATATATATATATATATATATATATATATATATATATATATATATATATATGTATATATATATATATATATATATATATATATATATATATATATATGTATATATATATATGTATATATATATATATATATATATATATATATATATATATATATATATATATATATATATGTATGTATATATATATATATATATAATTAAAAAGATATAATATTAATAAATACTAATAGTCAAAAAAAGTTATAAAAGAATATATTTAAATACAAATTTCCAATTAAATATATGATATTATATTCAACATATAATATATAAAGATTACATATAATATTTAAAAATACAAACTGTTAAATAATCAGATATAATGCTAAAAAAAAATTTTTTGTAAACAAAAATAAAATTTAATCCGTAAGATTTAGAACGTAAGTTTTTGTTTGAAACTGAAATGAATTTAAAGATTTTGCCATATTTAAATTGTCTTTCAGAAAAGAGTTCCATAGCTTGGGACCTCTATAAGTTATACTATATTCTTTGTATTTTGTTTACTTTTTAGGTAATTTATATGTGTTACTTTGATTTATTCTTAAGAAATACTTCTCATTTAAATTTTTATTAAATTTACTTATGAAGATTTCAGGAGTTAGATTATTGGTATATTTATACATAAAGTTTAGGTGTTGGAAAATATTTATCTGATATATGTTCATCATTTTCATATCCATCATTTCAGGTTTAGTGTGGTCCCCCCTTTTTTTGTTGTATATAATTCTACAAGCATGTTTTTGAAAGGAAAGAATTTTTTAAGTTTTTTTGGTGGACAACTTGCCCACGTAATATTTGCATAAGTAATGTAACAATGAATTAAGCTGAAGTATATAAGCTATAGACTATGTGAATTTAAGTATGGGCGAGTTCTATACATAATACTAATGGTTCTACTAATTTTTGATTGTATATATTTTATGTGTGGGAGCCATGATAAATGATCATCCACAATAACTCCTAAAAACTTTATAGTATCTTGTTTTTTAATTTGTTTATAATTTATAATAAGTTTTGGCAGTTTTAGAGGAAGGTTTTCTTCTTGTGTTTTTTTATGAAACAAGGTATATTGTGTTTTTTCAACGTTCAGAGAAAGTTTATTTGACCTGAACCAATCATTTACTTTTTCTAATTCAATGTTCATGTCAGCATAAAGTTGATTAATATTGCAGTTAGATAAAAATAGGTTTGTATCGTCTGCAAACATGATAGCATTTAGTTTTAATGATGCATTATTAAAATCATTAACATAAATTAAAAATAAGAGCGGAACTAGGATCATTCCTTGAGGCACTAAACACAGAATATTCAGTATTCCAGATTTCTTGTTTTGAACATATTGTTTTCTATTAGATAGATAACTTTTTATCCAATGATACAATTTATTGCATACCCCGTACCATTTTAGTTTTTCTAACAGAATAGAGTGATCAACGGTGTCGAATGCCTTGGATAAATCTATGAATACTCCGAGAGTAAACTTATCATTTTCTAAACCATCAGTTATTTGGTCGACTAATTCAATGATGGCATGTTCTGTTGAATGTTTTTTTTGAAATCCGAATTGTTTTGGATTAAAAAATTTATTTTTTGTAAATTAATCAAATATTCTATTATAAACTACACGTTCGAAGATTTTTGAGAAAACAGAAAGTACCGATATGGGTCTATAGTTTGATACGTCGGCGCGATCATTGTTTTTATAAATTGGGTATACTCTCGCAAGTTTAAGTATATCAGGAAATACTCCTTGATCTAAAGATTTTTAAAGATTTATGAATACACCAAAAGCAAAGGAACCACTGTAAATTGCACCACGAATCATTTTAGTAATGCTAATAAAAGCATGAGAAGTGGAGTGATTTGAGCGAAACCCAAACTGTCAAATATAAAAACAAGTAGAACTATTCAAAAAGTTGTAAGTACGGGGAAACATACGTTTTTCTAAAAGTTTGCTGACATTTGAAAATAATGAAATTGGTTTGCAGTTATTACATTCAAGTTTTGAGTCTTTTTTATGAATTGAATATTTATAGAACTAGCTGTTTATAGTTCGGCTCACTGTATGTTTTACCGGCTCGCTGTATGTTTTACCGGCTCGCTGTATGTATAAATTATATGTATATAATTATATATGTATAATTTACAACTATAATAATAAGAGTATTAAAATTAATCATCTAATTCTGAACGGTTTAAAAAATTTAACTATTTAAACTTTGTTATGAAATACCTCAGTGGGCATGGTACGTCTATAAAACGTTCTTAGGACGTTTTTATTAGGTTTAAATCTAATAAAAACGTCCAAAAAACTTTTAAAAACCTACCATGCCGATTGGGACGAAAAAATCTGCCATTTTAAAATTTTACCGGTAAATTTTAAATCAAAATTTTCCGGAAAATTTACATTACTAAAATGTCGTATAAAATGTCATATAAAAGGCAATATTACATATACGTTTTTTGATTGGAGAACAATAGAAAACATATAACTTTTTAAATTTTAACTTGAAAAGTCATTATTCTGGCATTTTGCAAAAACAAAGCATTTGCATTGATTAGTACTCTAATCAACTGATTATAGTCTATAATTTATAGTTTATAATTTGACATTTGTCTTGCTGATTTTATTTTATAACTTTTAACTAAAAGTTTTTTGATTATACAAGCTTTTTTTGTTTGGCTAATTATTTTTAGATAGAATATAATGCTTTTTATTATCATTATCATTATTATAAGTTTTGTTATCATTTATAGTAAAAGATAAAAAATTAAAATTTTTTTGTAAACTTTGGCCTCAAATTTAATACAGTCAAAATTAAAAAAAATCTTTTAAAAAAGTAAAATCTTCAGCAAATGTTTTTTGTAAAAAAACAAAAGTTCTGTAAATATTTTTGTGTTTTCATTGTTTGATTTACTTTTATTTACTTTCTTATTTTACTTTTTTATTTTTATTTTTTTATTTTATTTTTTTTTTTTTGTAAAAATATTTTTATTTTTTTTTTATGTTTTATTTACTTTCCGATTTTACTTTTATTTACTCTATATGTTGCGGAGAAGATACATGGCATGTTCTCATGTGATTTTTTACATTTTGATGGTTTTCAACCAGATTAAACTTAATGGTTTATAACCAGGTAATTATTCATTACTTGAAAAATTTATTTAATTTATTTATATTTACAAATTTATAATATATGAGCAAAAAAGTTAAATATAGAAAAGATAATGAAGATAGACGAAGAGATGATAAATGTTTGAAAATCGCAATAAAATAACCATTTTGACACTTTCAATAGAGAACCTCCTGTCTTAGTACTTTCATATTTTTAAAATTCATGCTATGAAATTGCGCATAGTTAAATGGCACATGAGCAGCTGCTAAACAATGCCTACTAGCGATATTTTGTTTAGTTTTAACAGTTCATCAAACTTTAAGTGTTTCAAATTCTGAATTTTTCTTTATTCGATAGTTGTTTGATAGTTGTTCGATAGTTGCTAAGTTTGTAAGAAAGTATGACAACTGTTCGAAGACATTCGTTTTCATCGTGGGAAAGTGTTCGATGGAATATCGACAAAAACAAAATAACCGTAAGTAGTTTGAGGCTTTTTTCAAAATATTTTGAACCCTTTTTAAAACAAGAACAACAAAAATTGCACACTTTTTCGTACTTATTTTTTGATGCAAAAAGTGTTCTATTTTTATCCTGATTTAATTTAAGAATTTTTTTTTCTTTTGTTTTTAATACATTGATTATAATTTCTTTGCCTGAATTTTTTTCTTTTTTTGCAAAGTTTTGAATTAAGTTTGGCCATCAAATTATATTAATCTCATTCCTCAGCAGCAGGCATTTTAGTTTTTCACATGTGAAATAGCATTTTGTATTTGCACAAGTAGCAAAAAAAAATTTAGTTTTTAAAGTGAACCAGCGCACTTAACTCTGAGTTCCTCCAACTTGGTCGCAACGTTAAAAAAAAGCAAACACAATGTAACAACTAAAACTCTGTTTGGACAATAATAAATCATTTGATGCGTTTTTAAGACTTAATATTCTATCTAAGTAAATGTAGAATTTACTTATATTTTAGATTTAGATTACTTTATTTTATTTAAGTTTTTATAAGATATAAGTTTTATGTAACCAATTTTTTCACAAGAATAATTGAACGTTTCGTAGCAGTACAAATGCCAATAAACAACACCCCTGAATTTTTTTTTTTTTTTTAACAACCTTAATAGCAGCTCTGCTGTTTTATAATATATATATATATATATATTGAATTTAATGAATAAAATATAATAAATGACTATTCTTTTTTTTTTAAAACGAATAACGCATAATGAGTTTAAGCAAGCCTGAATAATGAGTTTAAACAATCTTACATAATGAGTTAAGCAAGCCTGAATATGCACTTGTTCTCTCTCATTTAAAAGCAAATATTTATTATAAAATAAAACGTCTAATCAAGTTATTTTGTTTTGTAATATTAGCGTAACGCGGGGCAAAATGAGAGAGCGGGGCAATACGAGACAGTTCGCGTTTAACATGATGCCAGCTCTACAAATTAATATTTGCAAGATTTTTAAAAGTGTAGTCGTGTTCAAAAACTATTTTGTGTCAAGAAAAATACATTGAGTCACTTTGAAATAAAAAAGTTGAGTAAAAAGGGAATCATTTCATCCCTCGGCTTCGCGAAAATTACGAATTTTTAAGTGTTGTTATTATATTTTTTCCTAGCCTTTTTTGATCTCACTGAGTGGAAAAGCTTTTTATATTTAAAGTTTTTTTTAATTAGAATCTTTAGGCCTTTTCCTTTCATTTCCATTCTTTGGTATTTTATTTCTTCAATAAAATAGTCTGGAAATTAGGCTATTCGATGCCAGCTTGATGCGGGGCAAAACGAGACATTCTGTATTTTTTTTGCCGATATCTAATATTATGTTTATTAAATTTTTTACATTAAAACAACAAACAAAGCAAATATTAATATTTACATGCTGCAGATATAAATTTATTATACTGTATGTACTTACTTTTTATTTTGTTAATTAAAATGTTTAGTTGTTATCCAATATAGAATTACATTTTATATTTTTTTAACTTATATTTAAATATAATAAAATTTAATTAAATTGAAGCAAGTAATTGCCTGATGTTTATAATTACAATGTTTGTATTTTATAATCTTATTGTATTGTAATGTAATAAAGTAAGTAGTATACAAAATATATAGTGAGTAGATTATAACATAGATTATTGCAGTATCTATAAACAAAATACAATGAATGTTATGCGTGCTTTAAATACATAAGTTTAATATATGCATGTTATGCGTGCTTTAAATATATATATATATATATATATATATATATATATATATATATATATATATATATATATATATATATATATATATATATATATACTACTATTGACTATATATATATATATATATATATATATATATATATATATATATATATATATATATATATATATATATATATATATATATATATGTATGTATATATATATATATATATATATATATATATATATATATATATATATATATATATATATATATATATATATATATATATATATATACACTACTATATATATATATATATATATACTACTATTGACAGAACCTATCCTGTCTCATTTGCGGGGCAAAATGAGACAGAATAGGTGCTGTCAATAAATGATCTCTGGTGACCAAACTATTGCAGTTTTGCAACTCATACTTTTTAAGCTTCAAGTAGGATGGTAGAAGAATTGAAAAATATCAATTTATTTTTTCAAAAGTTGTTAGACGGGCCGAATTAGATATATTAGCGCTTAAGTGTCTTATTTTGCCCCTCGTTATGCTACTGTCACTTTGCGACCAATCAAATTATTTTGTTTTAATAAATTACTTTTACATCGTGAAGCCAGCAACTCTGTTTTGAAATAACACGATTTCAATTAAAATAGGTATATGTGTTGTTTTGTCAAACCTATAGTAAAGCATTGTGCAACAAAATGATATTATTTTCAAATTTATTAAAAAAAATTCAATAAAAGTCATACAATACTTAAAATTAAAAAAAAAAATTTTAATCTTATAATTAGCTTAGACTAACATATATTGAATAAGTCTAAATAAATTTTGGAATAATGATTAAATTTAGTCCAATAGATGGGTCATTGTACGCCAAATGGTCTAATTTCCCAACTCGACCATCTCAGATTTTATTAAGTTTTGTCAGTATGTAGTTAAACATGTTTCGTGAACATTGCCAAAGTTTCAAATCAAAATGTTTGTTATTTCGGATTTTGTGGGTTTTTTGTAAGGCTTATCCAAATTTCAATATCAGTCAATAACTAAAAATTGTATTTTTGGAATCTAATATTTTTGAAATAAAAGGGTTTTATATCTTAAAAACGTGGGTTCTTACTAAACCAAATGTGCAGATTGCAAATCTTTATATCATTTCTAGAGTATAGTCTATGGTTCAAAAAGTTGCGTCACAAATTCAAAACAATAAGTTGTTATTGTTTTTATTGAGTCATATCTCCAGAACAATAGGTTTTTTAGTATTGTTATTTTTTTCTGAAAGTTCAACGTACTAATATGATATAAATAAAAAAATCAGCTATTTAAAAATTGCTCATGTTGAGTTATTATGAATTTTCGTTTTTTTTAATTGCATCATTGGAAAAAGTTTATTTCACACTTTTAGAAACAATAAAAACTATTGTAGAGAGATTTTTCCTGTAAACTAAAACCATCTAATTTTTATGACCTAAGTTAGGTCTACAAAGTTTTTGATATCTTAAAAGCGATATTAGGGTCCGTAAATTAATTTTAGTCGTGTAGAGCTAATTTTAGTAAGCACTTATACTTTTATTCTACGGACAAATCTCTCTAAATTAAATTCAAAAGTTTAATTTACATAAGTTTATCACTAATATCGACTAGAATTATCAGAAAACGAAAGTTATAATTGAAAATAAAACAAGAGCTATTTTAAATATATCTACGTTCTGACATGTCTATTGAACAAAAATTAAGTGCTTGTTATATTGGAAAGTTTGACAGACGTTTATGTCATTTAAGTACTTATTCATGAAATAAGGTTTCATTGACTTTTGCTCAGAACTTTTGATTGAGGAACAGAGTTTGATTGTCAGGGGAACTTATAGTTTAATCAAAAATATTACTTTAATTTGTTTCCACGACATATTACTGCTGTTGGTTAAATGCACGCATTTGTAGCGCTATTGGTTTATTGCAAAATAATAATGTCCTTCCATTAAGCAATGCCAGTGTGGAGTGTGAGAATTGCAATTTTTTTTATTATTGACATAATATTGATAGGTTGCATGAATTTAATTTAAAAAGCTGATTTTTTATCCATATTATTATATTAATACGTAGAAAAAACAACAATACTGGAAAACCTTTTGTTCTGGATATATGACACTACAAAAAAACGATGAAATTTTATGGTGTTGAATTTGTGACGCTATTTGTGAGCCGTAGACTAAAAATATAAATGCTGTATTAATTAGTTTGCAATCTGCATCTTCGGTTTACTAAGAACACAGATTTTTAAGATGTATTATTCTTTCATTGCAAAAATATAAGACCCTAAAAATACGATTTTTAGCTACTGACTGATATAATAGGGTAAGCATTACAAAAAGTACCATAAAATCCAAAATAAAAAATATTTTGAACTTTTTGGCGTATAATGAATGACCCAGATACCAAAAATGTTTTTGTTTTTTTAATATCTCTTTAAAATCATATATAAAATCATTATTTGTAACTTTTGTCAATCAACTACCATCACTTAACAACCATACACCACTATTTCTCAGTTAACTTTTTTATCATAAAATGTTCATTTGGAATTTCGGAAAGGTTTGCATTATGTGTGCAGAGGCGATTCAAAGAATAAAATAAGGGAGTAGGGGATGAATCCTTTAAAAAAACTGACTTGCTAGATGAAAAAAAAAAAGCCATTAAAACTATAGCCGGCTATGTTTCACAAAAAACCGACTATAATTTAAAAAATCATTTTCTTTGGAGGGATGTAACACTCTTACACATTCATCACCCCCCCCCCTCCTCTTCCCCGTAAAATCGTCTTTGTATGCGTTTAAAAATAAGAATAAATAACACAACGCTGGATATTAATATAAAAAAAGATTAAAATAGGCAAACTTCAGAATCAACGAGGCAAAAATCAAAAGTCAAAAAATCGAAACCAAGTATGTTGAGGTAAGGACTATTTAAATTAAGAGTTAGTATTTTTATAAAAAAAACAGATAAAGAGAAATTAACTATAAGACTTAAAAAAAAAAATTAGAAAGAACGCTCTTTAATAGTTGAAAATTTGGAAATAGTTAAAGTACGTAAAAAACAAAATAATCTTTAACAGTTGAAAATTTTTAGATACGTTAGATAACGTAAAAGACAATTATAAAAAAATGTATCTTAACTTAATGTCAAATGTTTTATTTAAATGTTACGTTGTACTTTGTTCGACGGTTCTTAAATCTCTCTCACCCTCCTAATGGGATGGACTTCTGTTT